GGGCTAACATCTGTGCCCATCTTCCTCCACTTTATATGGGATGCCGGCACAGCATGGCTTGCCAAGCAGTGCGTCGGTGCGCGCCTGGGATCCGAACCAGCGAACTCCGGGCCGCCGCAGCGGAGCGCGCGCACTTAACCGCTTGCGCCACCCGGCTGGCCCCTGGTATTTCATTTTGAATCTATTCCTTTTGAAGAAAGGTCCTGGTATGCAGATCGAAAAGGGGCTTTTGAAGAATGTCATGGGTTCTTGCTCTGCTCTTAAGATTTTTGGTAAAAGCATCTTCTCTCCCACGGACTGTGGTGAGGGCTTCTCTTGGCTTCTTTCCCTGGTTGCAAAGGCCGGGCTGCGGGCCCCCTTGGGGAACTCATGGGAATTTGTTTCCCCTTCTTTTCAGGACATGTCCAACGATGGCGACGTGCCCCCCACAGTGGCCTCGGTGGCGGATGGTGCCCACCTGCTGGGCTTCTCTGACGAGATCCTCCTGCATATCCTGAGCCACATCCCCAGCACAGACTTGGTGCTGAATGTCCGGCGCACCTGCCGGAAGCTCGCAGTACTGTGCCTGGACAAGAGCCTCATCCACACCGTGCTGCTGCAGAAGGACTATGAGGTGAGGCGCTGCGGGCGTTGGGGTGGCACTCGTGTGGGGGCAGGAGATGGGGAACAACTGGACACCCACCTGAGAACTGGCACAGCCTGGCAGTGGGGTGCGTGCAGCTGATATAAGGAGGCTGGCACTCAGAGTCCTGACTGGGACAGCCTCCAAGATACATTACATGGGAGAGCTACGGGCCAAAAAGTGTGGGTAGCGGGCCACCTGGGAGGAGGGCGCAGGTATAGCAGACATCGTCCTGGGAGGGCCTCGGGCCTCGGGCCTTGGCACAGGTGGATACCCAGGAGTGGAATTGCCGGGGCCCGTGGTGTTGCAACTTCCCTGTAAGGTTAAACATGTGGCTCTCCAGTGGCGCCATGGGAGCTACCACCTGACCCCCGCCAGCGGTGTAGGAGAGTTCTGGATGCTCTGCATCCTCGTCAACACTTGGTGGTGTTAGTCTTTTAGGTTTTCCCCTTTCTAATGGGTGGGACCTGGTATCTTGTAGTTTTAACTTCCCTTTCCCTGATGAAAGATGCTGTTGACTATTTTTTAGTCAAGCGCGTGGGCCATTTGTATATCTTCTTTTCAGAAGTGACTTTTGCCCATTTATTATTGTCTGTCTTTTTCTTAGTGAGTTAGAGGAGTTCTGTATATGTTCTGGATACAAGTCTTTTGCCAGATACACATATTATGAATATTTTCTCTCGTTGTCTGTGGCTTACTGTTTCATTTTCTTTTTTTTTTTTAGTAATTTTATTTATTTATTTTTTTCCCCCAAAGCCCCAGTAGATAGTTGTATGTCATAGTTGCACATCCT